TTGTGAGTGTGTGTGTGAGCTGAATATGATGAAGTGCTCCCCTGTCAGAAGGTTACTCACAGCCACGCTGTCCCAGGAGAGTTTGCTGTGACACTGGCAGAGGGAGAGCAGTGACCCCAGTGATGGCCGACTGAGGGACGGAGGCCAACTCTCGCTGTGTTAGAGGACGAACCTCTCAGCGGTCAGCTAAACTAATCACCGCAGGGACTAGCGACTACTGCTTTGTTGCAGCCCAGCATTCCCACTTCAGAAATAAGTCTGACAAATAAAGAATGGTCCTCATTCTGTTGCACTCTGAGCCTGACACAATGCAAATACCGCTAACAAGCAGGCTTACTGCTCCAAATTTATGCCTCTGGTGGCCAAACTGGCCAAAGTCCCATCTTTTTGCCTCATTGTGTTTCTCTTTTTCTTCTTGCTCTCTTATCTCATTGTCATTGACACGCTATTATCCATTTTATTGTGTTGTTCCGGCACATATTGTTCTCATCCTTCTGGTGTGGAAACCCGGTGTGTCCTGCACATGGTGTCTTGTCTTCACCAAGGTTGTCAGGTGTAAAGTTAGTTAATTGTTCCCTCTGCTTTGTTTTGCTTGTTTTGAGTTGTATAATATTTCTGCATTGTCTTCTTATGTTGGTAATTAAGTAAAGTCCTTTGAGGAATGGTTTGTGAAGCATGTAGACTTTCATAAACTATCCTTGAATAACCATCACTCATGTACACTACCTGTCAAAGGTATGGACACATGTTCCCAGTATGTTTACTGGTGTCTCATTAGTTATTATTCATTTATTTTTCCAGGATAATTTTGGCTTGATAGCGAGTTGTTATATCAAGAGATTTCAGAAACATTTGTGTTATCTGTAGCAGCATTTTATTGCCATTTTCCTGCTTGGGTCATGATGACAAGCACATGTTTAAATCTTAACAAGGAGGCGGACAAGCTGAGTTGTTAAAAAAGCAGTTTGCTGGAGTATAATCTTCTTTAATAATGTGATCAGTAATGATGTGTGGTCATCCAAGAAGGCAGTTTATAGAAAGGTATCAAACTATGGCAAAATAAGAATTCTGTACTTGTTTTGGTGTTTGCTGTTTAGGCACATTGGCATTATGAAAAACCAACTGAAATATGCCAAATTAAAACCCGTGGCTTTGCAGTCATAACCTACAGTGACATATTCTTTCATTTTCTTTTGTATGTTATTTTATTATCATCTAATAATAATTTATTTAGCATTTAGTACTACTTGTTCACTGCACAACCCAGAGGTAGGTTTTAAATGACGAACTGTGTTCCGAAGTGGTAATTAGCAACTCCTCTCTGTCGCCTGTCCAAGCCAGAGTAACTGAACGACGGGCAGTGACACTGCCCTTTGCAAGGTCACTAATACGGTAAGATGTTAATTATAATAAAAATTATGTGAGAACTAATATTTTTAAGACAGATTAATAGTATTGATTTTTATGAATCAGCTGGTCATTATAGATAAGAAGATAAGTAATGCTATTAGCAATTTATTGGTACAGAGCTGATACGCCTTTTTTTTTTTTTTACAATTGCTATTTTAAGAAAGTTGATTGTGCTCATTTCATTTGTCAAACTATATGAAATCCATAGCTTTTTGTTTGTTTTAATTTATTACCATAAAGTCTCTAACATACAGTACTCGCATCATATACCTGTAGTTACGGTATATGAACAAAAACAGGCTGACATTTTCAGTATTTCTACCTACTGTAATGTTGCATTTAATAACTGCACTCATGCATTTAACCATGTGATATGTGTGTTTAACATACTGACGTTCTTACAGAGATGTGTGCTATGTGCCCTGCTATTGATTCTTAGTGAAAGTCCTCTTTGGAATGTCAAAGTGTTATACTTCTGGATAGAATGTATTGATATGCTTGTCATGTGCTTGCACACATTTCCAGTTCACAGCAAGGAGAATCTTATCATGGTGTCTGACTTTGTCAACACTATTAAATTTAGACAGAGGCAGAGATTAATAACTTCCACATAAGGACAAAACAGGCAGAGGCACAAGCTTGGGAGCTTACAGAAAGATTAATGACTGTCAAAAACAATGAATTTTCCATTGGCTATAGAATGGCATAGGATTCTGCTATGGTCTTCCCACTCTCCTCATCAGATAAGAGCTTGTTCAAGCATCACCAAGAAATGACCTAATTTTATAGATAAACATTTTGTCCTTTCTGCAGACTTCAGATTAGCATTGACCTATTTTTATGTCAGAGTACTTTTTTTTAGCAAGGCTTCATTCCACCCTCACCAATGTGTAATGAGCAAAACTATCACAATTTTTATTGACCGTAAACAAAATGCAAAAAAATCCCTGTTACATTATGTGTAAAACTGACCTCATGAAGAGGAAAAAAATCGCCTTCTTTGCAAATACTGTATGTCATCGTTTTGATGGATACCCAGCGGTTCTCAAGTATCAGCAGTAGAGAAACACATGAATGCAGTATTGATGAGCATGTTGAACACAGATGCAACTTTGAGCAGCAGAAGGGTGGTAAGAAGCCAAAAATTATCTGTGACAACAGCAGTAACAAATGAGGTGTGCATAGTGTGAACAATGTCACCGGCACCTCCAGCTGTAAGGAAGCTGCAGCCTGTTAGCTGTTAGACATTTCCCAGTATAGACAGGATGTGTCACCACGTAATACTTTTGCAGACCAGAGGTGGAAGAGAGGTAAATACTACAAAAAAAAAGAGCTTATTTCTCAAGGAGCTAAGAAGTGCTCTTATCAATCAGCCTGTGCATCCACAAGAAACAGCACACTGTGTGACCCCCAGTCAGTGCAGATTTGGCCATGGCTTTTAGAGGAAAGCCTATAGTCTTGCTTCACCTGCATTTCTGTCTGAAGCATTGTTCATGGTGATACGAAAATAACATGCTGGAAAAAATAGTAAAATGTATTCCATGTATGTGTCATTGTAATTTACAGATGAATAAAAACATTTAACAAGTGGCCAGTCTGCCAAATTATTAAAGTAAAAACATTTTCAGTACAATCTCAGCAGCAGAAATGATATATTATGTATGAAAACAAAGATGCATGAAAGTTGCTTTTAAAATTTCTGGAGAATAATAACTAAAACCCTCAACTATTTTAAGAGCAGTTATTCTTATAATAAATGTCACCTCTGAGGCGAGTGCTTGTCTGTTCCTTCTCCTCCCATTTAACCTATATCTGTTGGTAGTTTTTCTGTAATGCCACACTCTAAAATGACTGCCCTCCCCCTTCTTTGTGTTTGGATAAATATTCTTCTCTCCTTTATGCATCTTGATGATGATTCCCACTATTATCCCAAAAGAGGGGCTGATTTACAGATGGGCACATTCACATACAAATCCCATTTTGAAAGACTAATATAATATAATATAACTAGGTAATAGCAAACAGTAACAGTAAGTCAACTGATGTACTCTTATTAAAAATGCCTAGGTTTTCTTGTGTGAACCTTGGTGTGCTTAGACTCTTTACAGTGTTTTGCATATTAGAAAACCATTTCTCTACTCTTCTGTATCAACAGACCACAGACTTGGTGCAACATATCGGTTTTTAGGGTAGTAAAGATATCTGGGATTGCGTGTTTTTTGGGGGGGTTTGTGTAGTGTTTTGTCTTTTCTTGGGCGTATGGCTCTACAGTACTTCCGATTAGCATTCGGTGCTGATTTTGCAGTTCACACAGTAAGTCCTTTTCAAAATCGGAGGCTTACCAGCAAATCTGATGTCAATCTGTTCTAGCCTGAAGCCTTTGTTAACAATGTTCTGTCATTACTCCTAACTAAGTGTCTCTATCTGGAGACAGCCAACCACCTTCCCTTATGTAACCACTGGAGACAAACAAAGAGATGATGAAAGGAAACTGTTTGCCAATCTGCCATGTTACTCTGGGTAGCATGTAATTTTGCATGGATGGTGAAAGGTGAAAGCTGTTGAGTAGAATTCTTCCCAGGCACTGTAGGAAGATTAGTCCTTAAGGGGAAGAGATTTTAATTTTGTTCTGATTAACAATTTTACAGCACATAATTGTTTGGATTGCCATATCTCAAGATCCTTTAGCTATATGAAACATTACATAAGATAATAAGTGTTCTTGATCCAATAAAGAACTGGATTTAGCATAATTACTCTTGACACAATAATCTTATACAAACAAAGACAAGAAATCCAGAGGCAGCCCAGGGATTTGGTCATACTGTTGTAGTTTATTTTATTATGTCTGATGTTACATCTTTAGTTTAAAAAAACATAGTATGAAAAAGCTTTAGTTACCTGTGATAGAGCCATGAGGATCCCCTCACCTCTGACCAGCAATAAGTAAGAATACAGGATAGAGGAATATCTACACAACTTTGAAGTTATTGAAGTGAAAGTTTATTTTAAACATACATTGCAACGCAGAGCTATAGCAAACCCTGGTTATTGAGGCTGGTGTCACAGTAGATGTCAAAGCACTGTTTAGTGATTCCCCCTGTCCTATAGTTATATGACAGTGTATCTTAACTGATAAATATGATTGCACAGATATATGCAGGATGCTTTAGAGAGGTTTAACTGACCATGTGAACTCTGATATTACTTTATCTGTACCAAAATTATGTGTAAATAACTATTACACCGTGGACTTCCTGCTACAGATAGCTGTTTTAGATGTTTAAGAACTAATGATATGACCAAGTTGATTATAGGATTGAATTTAATAAAGGTATGATATTTGTATTCATGTTTTTCTTGTCTTTTTTATGTTGTATTGGTGCTTGACATGTCATGCAAGGGTATAAGCTGAAGAAGTACTGTAGTACCAGTGTACAGTACTACTCCCATTTTTACCTACACAACATTTTTTTCTTGTACTTCCTGTCACCACGGATAGAACAAATAATGTTCATGGTATCAGTGTTAATTCTTCACGCTACCTGTCTAACCTGCTGTTTCCTTGCTTTACCCCCTCATGCTATCAGTGGCTGGGACAAAAAGCAAAGCAAAAGGTGAGTTATTGGCTCCATTTTCTTGCTGCGTGATTTATGTCATACACAGATCCCAGTAAACAATGTTTGGATTGCCCTTTTATCTCCCCCAAGAGCCCACAAAGCATTAGCATACTCCGCTTGTCACAGCGCTTTCTCTCTGGCATTTTTAGCCTTTGTTTTGATTTAGTTTGATGAACAACGCTTGCTCTTTCTCAGATACAACCTGCTTCACATACAGTATGTACAGATTCACATGTACACACCGGGGAGCTGACTGCGTCACCCAGTCATGCTTTTTCTTCGCTTGGCTACTGTGCAGCTCCAGTGGAGCAGCTGGGGTGTTGTTCCTGTTTCAAGGACATCTCAGCAGTAGATGGGGAAGGAGAAGACGGTTTCTCATTTGCTTTCCCTGCCCAGATTTTCCCAGACATACTGTCCTGCTTTTCATACTTTTATTTTACCTCTGTCGGTTTGTGCTGTTTTGTGCTTTGTCCTGATATTTGGTGTAAGCATTCACTTCATTGCCACTGATTCTGATCTATTACCTAACTTGTCATTTTCAGATCCATAATGCACTGAGCTCAGAAATTCACCACCTAGAGTGTTTTTTTCTTGATGCTCAGAAAAAGATCCTGCTACAGAATGTCTGATGATTTACAGATGTTTATCTGCCTTTCATATTGGATATACATTTTCTTTTATTGCTCATGTTCTTGCTGGCTGATGCTATTGTGACCTCTGAGCATCAATACCCTGGTGAATCTGCCTGTTTGGTTATTGATACCACCCATAGTGCTGTTACTTATCTGTAAACATTTTATTTGCTAGTTGGTGTGGCTTGTTTGCTTTGACTGTACTGTTGAAGTTTGAGGAGACTACTTTATCCTACCTGTGTTGTACAGTGTTATGAAATCTAGTTTCCTTATTAACATCATTAAGGAAACTTTTGTTGTTGTTGTTGTTGTTGATGATGCTGTTGTTTTTTATGGACTTAAACCAAGCCCACTTACTAATGCTTTTCATGTTCATGAATGAACATCGAGGGTTTTTCATGTGGATTTTTTTTTTTTTCATTTTGGAAAATGCAATGTTTTCTAATTAAAGAAGTAATTAGGCAGCTAGTTTTTAATTAACAGAAGATACACATTCAGCAGCCGTACCGCTGGAATCTAGCTCAACATTGGGAAGGCTTTTTCAGCAGCACTTTCTCCACTCTAATTATAGTTAATTACTTTTATTAATAATGATGAAGATAATGAATATTACCACATGTATCAGTCTTGAATATTGATTAATGGATTTTGTCAGCTTTCCTATTGCATGCTAATAATTCCTATGCAGTTTGTGGAGTAACTGCTAAAAAAAATGTAAGGCCTAGAAACCAGGATAGAAGATCATCCTGTCAGTTGCCATTATAATGGAACAGACCTCTGGATTTATTTATTGAGACCTTATGAATAGATTTATTTGCTCTCTGAGGACTCACCTGGGTGTATGAATGTACCAGTGCAGAGAAAAGGAGAATTCAAGTGTATAAAAAGAGTAAATTGAGGGTTAAACTGCTCCTTGAGAGAACATTATGTGGCCTTCCCAAGCTCACATTTTTCAAGCAGAAGTAGAAAGGCAAGTTGTAATAGTGGTCCCCTCCCACACACTCCCTCCCAAAATGACTCTACCAATAGTAAACCATAAGGCAAAGGTAGAACATGAAGCTGGAATAATAAAGGTTGTTTTTACTATTCTGTTATGTATAATCATTATGAAGGGCATATTCAGTGTGAATTTAACAGCATTTCAGATAAAGCGTTTCTGATAGAGGTCATGTTACATTTAAAAAGAACCGGGCGAGGATTCTCAGCGTGATAAGGTTTTATTGAACATCTAAAAAGGAAATATATTCTTACCACGTTATTCAGTAGGCTTTGTGGAGATAGAAGATGAATGCATATATCTCACAGAGCACTCTTTGTAAGTAATGTTTGAAGAGCATGTGGTATGGTAAGTAGTCTCGTTCATTCCCACCTCCTAGCTCCTCAACATTTTAAAGAAAATCCATACTTGCAGTTATTGAGAAAAGATGCCTCATAACTCACAATCAAGATTATGTTCCACTGATTTCTCATGAATTAAGCAGTTCTTTAGAGTTGGGTTGCTCACTGTTAGGAGCACTTTGTGTTGTTGTCTCAGTGTTGACACTGTGTACACTTTGTATACAGTGTATAAGATTTGACAGAGAAATCTCAGTCCCAGAGTTCATCTGAGACACATCACATGTACAGTCTTGTACGTAAAACCAGGTGGTGTAATTTTCTTTTTCACCTTTAAAGAGTACAGTATTTCTGACCCACTTTCTGAAGCCAATGTTTTTCCACTTTCCTCTTTTTCCTGCACAGTAGAAAAAAACACTGCGAAAAGAGCCTCCGGCGGTGATATTTACTGCCAGTTCTGTGGATTGTCCACCCCACTACCTTCCCCCCTACATCCCCTACTGTGGCAAATCACAGGGGAGGACAACGCTCTGCACCACCTCTGAGTTGAGCAAGATTCACTTTATCTCAGGTGCCACTCAGTATAGGCACTAAATGTCCTTTTTGATGGAGGGTAAAACTGACAGACAGCTCATTCTGTCTTGGTTATTTCCTTTGTAACAGGCATGATCTGGCTCTGTAACAACTCAATCAATAGACTGCATCATTTAAGATCATTCTATCAGTGCCATCAGTGCTATGAATACAATACAGAGCTGATAGTTTGCGTGTGGTGGCGGGTCATTTCATCATCTGCACTGTGCCTGCCTGATCTGCTGTGAACTCTTCTTGTTTACAGCTGATGGAAGCATTACAGAAACCCATTCTAATCCCAGTGCAGACAGAAGATATATAAATGGGTCTTGATAAGGTTCCACACAGTCACATATAATGCAAGAAATATTCATATTTGATTTTGTAAAACCCACCCAGGGGCTATTTGCACCTGGAATTAAAACAGCAGATGAGATAGAAACTGTAATTGGATTGTGTTTGAGTCATCTTTGTCCATGAACACTACAAAAAGATCTAGTAGGAGCATATACTGTGTCCTCTGTCATCTTTGCATTTGTAATTTATTGCCAAATGGAGGGCGAAAGAGAGCGACATGGATTACATTACTGATCTGGGCAAAAGTAATGACAGGCTTTACTTTTACCATAATTGCATATGGATTTTCTATGACTAAATGAATTGCATATTGGAAAGGTTGTATAGAAAGATTTCAAAAGTCCCCTGTTGATTTTAAATTGTGACATAATTTTAAACTGACAGTATTCGAAGCAGCAGGTGAACCGTTTTTGAACATGCATCATTTTGGACAAGCAATTTACAGATTAGCTTCAGTTAATGGATAAGATCTAGATTTAGTGCTAATTAGCTGCTGCCCTTAAATAGTTGCTTAAATCTCCTCAATCAACCAGGCTGATAGCTTTTAAAATGGCACAGGTTATTGAGTGCCTCGGAACAACAGGTTTGGCATAAACATAAGAGGCATCCCTGTTGGTGTTGAACCAGTTGGGCTTAAATTACACTGTCAATGTAAATGATTGTTGGTTTGGATTGGCGACAGTCACTATAGAAATACATGACACAAAATATGTTTTTGCTCATGCTTTATCCTCTTAAGACTGTTCAGAAAAGGTCACTCTGGGGGGAAACAATCAGATAAGATGAGGTTAGCAGCCTGTCATAGCTGCCCAGAATTTTCAAACCATTTCCTTTATCAACACTTACAGTTGAAGGTAGTTAGTGTCAGCAAGCATAATATAATAAGATTTTATTCAAATGACAGATATGGTCAGATTCATCATGCTGTTTGTATTTCCTCTCTATAGTCTACCTTTTAATATGCATCAATGCATGGATATACAGTAGTTTACATATTGTAGCATTTTCTCATTAGTTGAAATGCAGATTTTTAATGTAAGCAAACTTATTTTGTTTGTAATTGTTTTGCCTCATCACACAAGCTTTATACATTCTGTCATATGTCCCAAGTAGTTAAGCAATTTGCAAAAAGCTACTCACAAAGCTGTTCAGCCTCTAGACTATTTAAAATTGTAACAGACAGCAATCACGTAAGGAGTTCACGTGCATTAGTATTCTGCCTATCACTGAATACTGGCAACACCTAGTCTGAATTTTCAGAAGTAGACTTATTTGGAGCCTAGTGACTGGAATATGTTGTTTACATGATAAGTTTCAAAGAAAGTGTTGGTGCACTCTAGCAACATACAGTATGGAATATTAATGTGCTGTGAAATTCATAGTTTTGCTATCTGTTTCCAACCAACAGATAAACTGCAGAACTGGCATTAAAAGCAGATGCTATTCTTGTTCATATAGCCATTATCATTATTATCGTCAGGCTAAAAGAATGGACAAAATATGTATTGTGTTAGAGACATCTTTTTTTTCTTTTACTGCAGCGTAAGCTGCTTTAAGTATTTTAGAGTGGAAGGTTGTGGGTATTAATTTTCAGCAGTCCACCACAGAGGTCAGCATTAATCTAATCCACTTCAATGTCTTTCAGGGAGGGATGTTGTTAGTTTTGGCAGGAAGCTCACATAAATGCTATACTAAGTGATAATATCAATGCTACTGCGGAGAATCATGTGGCAGGCACCCATTATCTGGACAGCCTGAGACGGACACTCTCAGGCCTGATTATGGCTCTTTCTGAGCAGCTGCATCAAGTCTGGGTTTGAGAACTACTCAGTTTTAATCAATTTTTGATCACATTTTTACCCTGTAAACCTTGAAAGTCTATCGATTAGCCTTACCTCCTATGATTCAGCAAGGTCTTTGGAGAGTGAACTGTACATTTCTGTAAGAGTGGAATCACACAAATCGTAGTAAGTAAATTTTGACACTAACATAAAGCAACAAAAACAGTCCACTTGACAGTGTTAAAAATAGATAATACATAAACTGAGACTAACTCTTGAATCCAGCCTGGCTTTGTGGTAGCACACCTGTCTGACAGCA